ATCCTTTAGAGAAAAGTTCTCATGGGGCTGAAGGCATCCTGGAAAGTGATGGGGATTGTTTGCTAGCTGAATCTGAAGGGGACAAATGTGGGCTTGAGAAGGAGGCTGAGACCCATTTCCAGGGTGATAAAGAGAGCAGAGGCACTGGGGAAGGGCTGGAAAGGAAGGATGCCAGTTTCCTTGACAACTTGGACATCCCAGGAGGTGAGGAAGGTGGTGGGACTCGCTTCTGCGATGATGTCACCATGGTGGATGAAGACCAGAAGCCAGCCACTGGTCAGCCCAACTCCTCTTCCCACTCTGCTGATGCTGTCACTGGCTGGGAGGCTGAGGCTGCTCACACATGCTCTGATTGTGGGCATTCTTTCCCCCATGCCACTGGCCTGCTGAGCCACAGGCCCTGCCACCCACCCGGCATCTATCAGTGCTCCCTCTGCCCAAAGGAGTTTGACTCTCTGCCTGCCCTCCGAAGCCATTTCCAGAACCACAGGCCGGGGGAGGCGACCTCAGCACAGCCTTTCCTCTGCTGCCTCTGTGGCATGATCTTCCCTGGGCGTGCTGGCTACAGGCTTCACCGGCGCCAGGCCCATAGCTCCTCTGGCATGACTGAGGGCTCAGAGGAGGAGGGAGAAGAGGAAGGAGCGGCAGAGGCAGCCCCCGCCCGCAGCCCGCCACTGCAGCTCTCGGAAGCAGAGCTGCTGAATCAACTGCAGCGGGAGGTGGAAGCGCTGGACGGTGCAGGGTATGGGCACATCTGTGGCTGCTGTGGTCAGACCTACGATGACCTGGGGAGCCTGGAGCGCCACCACCAAAGTCAGAGTTCTGGGACTACAGTAGACAAGGCTCCCAGCCCTTTGGGAACAGCAGGTGATGCCACAGAGATGGTCATGGACAGTGTCTTGGGGGACATAGTGACTTCTGTCTCTGGAGAGGGTGGAGATGCCAAGTCTGAAGAGGGAGCAGGCACCCCCTTGGGAGACAGCCTTTGCATGCAGAGTGGGGAAAATTTGCTGGAGGCTCAGCCCCGCCCCTTTCGCTGCAACCAATGTGGCAAGACCTATCGCCATGGGGGCAGCCTGGTGAACCACCGCAAGATCCACCAGACCGGAGACTTTCTCTGCCCTGTCTGCTCCCGCTGCTACCCCAACCTGGCTGCCTACCGTAATCATCTGCGGAACCACCCTCGCTGCAAAGGCTCTGAGCCCCAGGTTGGGTCCATCCCAGAGGCAGGAGGCAGCACTGAGCCCCAGGTTGGGCCCATCCCAGAGGCAGGAGGTAGCAGTGAGCCCCAGCACATGGCAGAGGAGGAGCTGGGGCAGGCAGAAGTAGAGAAGCTCCAGGAAGAACTTAAAGTGGAGCCCCTGGAGGAAGTGGCGAGGGTGAAAGAAGAGGTGTGGGAGGAGACCACTGTGAAGGGGGAGGAGATAGAGCCCAGGCTAGAGACTGCTGAGAAGGGCTGTCAGACTGAGGCCAGCTCTGAGCGGCCCTTCAGCTGTGAGGTGTGTGGCCGTTCCTACAAGCATGCTGGCAGCCTCATCAACCACCGGCAGAGCCACCAGACCGGCCACTTTGGCTGTCAGGCCTGTTCCAAGGGTTTCTCAAACCTCATGTCCCTCAAGAACCACCGGCGTATCCATGCAGATCCCCGACGTTTCCGCTGCAGTGAGTGTGGGAAGGCCTTCCGCCTGCGGAAACAGCTGGCCAGCCACCAGCGAGTTCACATGGAGCGGCGTGGGGGTGGTGGCACCCGAAAACCGACTCGAGAAGATCGGCCCTTCCGCTGTGGGCAGTGTGGGCGGACCTATCGCCATGCTGGCAGCCTCCTGAACCACCGGCGCAGCCACGAGACGGGCCAGTACAGCTGCCCCACCTGCCCCAAGACCTACTCCAACCGCATGGCTCTGAAGGACCATCAGAGGCTGCACTCAGAGAATCGGAGGCGGCGGGCGGGGCGGTCCAGGCGCTCAGCTGTGCGTTGCGCCCTCTGTGGCCGTGGCTTCCCTGGCCGGGGATCTTTGGAGCGGCACCTGCGGGAGCATGAGGAGGAGAAAGAAGGGGAGCCAGCCAATGCCCAGGGAGGCCCGGATGGCACAGTGGGCAGTGAGGCGAGCCTGGCTGGTGACCCAGGACTAGAGGCCCGGTTGGGTGGTACTGAGCCAGTGCCCCAGCTGGAGGATGGAGTCCCGAGACCAGGGGAGTGCAGTCAGAGCCCCCTCAGGGCAGCAGGCTCAGAAGCCCCAGAGTCACTGTCCTGGGGCACAGAGAAGGCAGGTGGGTGCCCAGGAGGTGGGGGACTCGGGAACCACAGTGGAGGCTGGGTTCCGCAATTCCTCACCAGGCCAGAGGAGCCAGAGGACAGTGTTCCCAGGAGTCCTTGCCATGCTGGTGACCGCCAGCTCAATGGACCTAGTCTGAGTCATATGGATAGCTGGAACAACAGCTCTCAGCTGCAGCCAGGGAGCCACTCTTTCTCTTGCAGCCAGTGCGGCAAGATTTACTGCCAGTCTGGCGGCCTCTTGAACCACAATACCCACAAGACAGACCGACACTATTGCCTGCTCTGCTCCAAGGAGATCTTGACTCCTATGGCCACTAAGAGCCACAGTCACAACCACATAGATGCCCAGACCTCTGTCTGCCCTGACTGTGGCAAGGCTTTTGAATCCTACCATGAACTGGCCAGCCACCTGCAGGCTCATACCCGGGGCCACAGCCAGGTGCCAGCCCAAATGGAGGAGGCCAGAGATCCCAAAGCAGGGACTTGGGAGGACGAGGTGGGCCTCCCTAGTCAAGGGAAAGCCCGGGAGGCCCCATCAGAAACCCCCAGAGGCCCAGGAGAGAGTGCAGAGACAGCCAGGGGAGGACAAGCAGTGATGTCCGCGGCAGCTGAAGATAAGGAGCGGCCCTTCCGCTGTGCCCAGTGCGGGCGCTCCTACCGCCATGCCGGCAGCCTGCTGAACCACCAGAAGGCCCACACCACGGGGCTATACCCCTGCTCCCTTTGCCCCAAACTTCTCCCCAACCTGCTGTCTCTTAAGAACCACAGCAGGACTCACACGGACCCCAAGCGCCACTGCTGCAGCATCTGTGGCAAGGCCTTCCGGACAGCTGCCCGGCTGGAGGGCCATGGGCGGGTCCACGCACCTCGGGAGGGGCCTTTCACCTGCCCCCGTTGTCCCCGCCACTTCCGCCGCCGAATCAGCTTCATGCAGCACCAGCAGCAGCACCAGGAGGAGTGGACAGTGGCCGGCTCTGGTACGGGGGCATGAAGGGCTTGGGTGGAGGACTGAAGGGTCCCAGGAGGAGGTGGGCACATGGTGGAGGGTGAAATCCGGCCCCAGAGCAGATGGGGGAGCAAGGAGTGAGAGGAAGGAGTCCCAGGGATTCTAAGGAGGGTGGGGGCTTGGCTATGGGGTGAGTGAACTAGTTTGAGAATATGCTGAACTGAGCACCCCCAGGTCAGGTGTAACAAATAGCAGGGTGGGTTGGGCAGTGCATGGTTGGGCTGAAGCTGCTGCTGGGCTCTGCCATTACACTGTAGCCAGAGAGGAATGGGCTTTGTGTTTGGGGGAAGGTCACTGGGTGCCCCCTGGCTGCTGCATCTGGAAACCCTCCTGAGTCAGCCAGTAATGATTTCCAGAGAAAAAGAGGAAGCCATTGGTATGGTCTAGGTTCCGTTCTCCTAGAGCAGGCCGGGTGCTAGGGAACGAGGGATGGGGCATGGGCTTCATGGCTCCCCTGCTGACTTGGCTATGGAAACTGGGTCACTGGTTGGCACCCTACTCCCTGTCCCTCTTTCTCTGTGCGTTGTCTCTGCTGCTTCTCTCTTATTGGAAACTAGACCTCTGGTCCTTCCCTGTCAGTGTTGTTCCATTGCTTTTCTAACCTTTATTCAGCCCCTTTTCCCTCTGCTGCCAACGTCTTTTCAGGATCCAACCAAACCACCTTTTCCACCTGTGCACCCCGACACCCTCTGCACGCCTTTAACTGGAGGACTGAGTCACAGATAATTGTTTCCTTGAAGTTCAGGCCCAGCTGCAGCAACAACAGTCATTAGCCTGTGTCACATCCCTGATCAGAGGGCATCTCCGTGGGGAATCGCCTCCACCCAGCAATGCTGCAGGCTGCGGCTGCTGGGGAGTGGGGCGGCCAGTTCCCTCAGCAGGCCCTGGGCTGCCCTCTCCTTCCTTTAGTAGAGGTGAACCTGTTCCGTCTAGTGACCCCTGAGGGTGGGTGGTCCTGAGATGGTGGGCCCTTGTCATAGTGGAGGGTGGGTGGGAGTCACCTGACAGCTGAAGGAATAGCTTTAAGGATAGAAGATTTCTCATGACCTCAAGGGATATGAGCGAAAAGCCAGTTCACCAGGGCTAGGAAAATAATTAGGAGGCCTAGAATCCCTGTTCTCATCTGGGCCTCTTGGGCCAGGGGTGGGGGAATGGCCTGCAGGGTTGGGAGGTGGGTACATGCTGTGTGGGGTCTGCCCCTCAGTCGGTGACCTCCTCTCTCTCTCTCCAGGAACCCCAATGGCACCAGCGACGGGCAGAGGGGACTTGACATTGCCCCCTCCACCCAACCCCGCCACCCCACTCCTGGACCCTTCACCCCAGTGGCCTGCAGACCTCAGCTTCTCCCTCTGAACTTCAAGTCTCCAAAGATCAGAATCTGGGGGAGGGGGCACGTGCAGGGAGGGGCTTGATCTCCACGTTTTCTCAGGAGTAGTTTGGGCATCCCCATCTCTTCTCTCCCCTTGCAAAGTGGACCCAGATCTGGCTTCTTTCTCAAGGAAGGGTGGGGTGTTCCTTGCATCCCTGTCCTTGAAGGACCTCCTTCTCCCAGCCTTGTCACCATGCTCTTCCCAGTGCCAGCCTCTGCTGAGATGCCGGGCCACTCTCACCAGCCAGATTGCAACACCAGGGAGAGGCGGATGCAGAGCCCCACAGGTGGGAAAGTTGCCTGTGGAAGGGAGCCTTTTGCTACAATTTGTAACTTATTTTCTAAAGTCTATTTTGTAACAATTTATTTAAGTTTAAAAAAGGGAAAATTGCTGCCCCCTAAAAAAAGAAATTTTCAAAACACGTGGCTGGCGTGATTGTATCTGAGAGGGTGAAGGAGGAGGAAAGCTGGGATGCCTGCGTCAGAGCAGAGCTGGGCATGGGAGCGTCCATAGACACCTCTGTCCTGCAGGGTGGGGATTTGGCACCTGTGGTCTTTCTCACAGCTGCTGGGCTTCTGGGCCTGCCCTGTGCCTGGAATCACACATGGTGGGGTGGGGAGGGCAGGGCAGTGATGCCAGTTCCCTTCCTATGTTCTCTCATCCTCAGAATGGCTGGGTCCCCTGTCAGCAGCTGGCTGGTTGGCCTGTGGGGAAGGAAGGAGGGTAGGGTTGTCCTCATCCTCATGGCTTTGCTCCCTTGCTCCCTGTTCCTCCAAGGAACAGGGTCTGTCTTGGCCGCCATGACAGATGAGAATACTGAGGCTAAAGCGGTTGAGTGACCTGCTCCAAGTCACACGATGACAAAGAACCAGAGTGAATCAAATGGGTCTGCCTGTTGTTCCACCCACCCAGGGCAGCTAGACTGGGTCAGAATGGCACGCCCCCTCGCTGGAGAGAGAAGGGTTCTGGAGAGACGGGGTTTGGCAGGAGGCCCCAGGGCCACATACTCATGTTGGCCAGGCAGCTTCCAGTCTCAGTCTCGGGCTCTGGCTCCTCGGCGAAGTAGACCTGCCAGTCCAAACTGCTGACCCAGTCCTCGTAGGCAGGGAGCGCAGTGAAGACCGCCGGCCTGGCGGGGCCTTGGCAAGCATCTCCGAAGCTGTGCAGCCCGACCAGGAACCATGTGCCCCTCACCTCATGCACCAGTGGTGTCCCAGACAGGCCCTGTCAGGTCAGGTGACACTGGGTGACTTCTTATAGGCAGCTGTGCAGGATGCCAGAGGGGGCTAGGGAGGCTCTGGCTATTTGGGGCTAATTGGCAAAAAGGCCTAGTTACAGGTGGGGGGCGGGGCCAGAGGCCAAGCCTGGAAAGTCTGTTCTTGAGAACAAGGGTGACGGGGGGGTGCCAGAGGCCTATTGGGCAAGGTGTTGGGGCCTGGGCTCACCTCACAGCTGGGCAGCTCACCCACAGCACTGGTACACACCATCCCTGGCAGAATGGGGCTGCCATCGCCCCCAGGAGCTGTATGCAGCCGGCTGCAGGCCCTAGGCCCCAGGAGGGTTACGGGCACTGTCTGGGGGTAGCTGATGTCTGTGGAGCAAGGGAAAGCTGTCTGCCCCAGCCTGCAGGCGGAACGGACAGCAGCCCTGGTCCTGCACTCACCTACCTGCTTCTGGGCGGGCCCGTCCCAGGACCCAGCCACGCTCCCCATCAGGCAGGTGGTGGTCGGCATAGGGCAGGCAGAGGGGCCGTAGGCTGGCGCCCAGTGTCACAGGCTGGGCCAGCAGCAGGAGGGCCACGTCATAGCCCCCCTCAGGGTGGGTGTAGGCCCCGTGCAGGGTGAGCTGCTTCAGGCCCCATTCCTCTGGTCCGGTCCCCAGCCCTACGCTCCATTCCTCTGGGGCCTGGCGCCTGTGTAGAGGCAGCGTGGATGGCACTGGGTGACAGGGCTGCTAGCAGGGGCAGGGGGCATACTGGAGAGGGACCCAGGACTCACCCGATGAAGCAGTGGGCAGCAGTCAGCACCACCTCCTCTGACACCAGGGCTCCGCCACAGGCCAGCTGCCCCTGGTACATCAGCCTGGCATCCCAGGGCCATGGGGAGGGTACTCCTGCCTGGGGACCTGCTGTCCTCAAGGATCCACAGGCTGAAACAGATGAGTGCCTCATCTGACTTCTTGCTAAGCGCTTCCCACTTCCTGTCAAATCCTCACAATATCCTTTGAAGCTGAATTTTGTTCGCCTCATTACTGAAGTTAACCAAAGTTCCAGAGAGGTTAAGTGACTTCCTCGCTCTTTAACTACAAGCAAGTGGCAGACTTGGGACTCACAAGCCAGGGCCTGAGCTTTTAGCCCTGCCAGTCTGATGGGACCCCGTCCTGGCCTCGTTGGAATGCCCCTACTTGTCATACTCCCCTGCCCCACCCGTCTGTACCCTCCAGGCTGGGCCTGGCTCCCATATTCCTGGCTCATTATATATCTCTTAAGACATAATATCCATCCCAGGAATTATTTTGCATTCAATTTGCATGCCAGTCACTTAATGCCAGAATTCTGACTGGAAGCCCTACCCTGTGCAGACTTGCTGGGTCCCTGCTGGAAGCTTGCCACTCCCCCAAAAACCCCAGTAAGGTCTGAGATTGCTCTTCTCACCTGAACTCCAAACCTGTAGAGTTCTAAAACGCCTGTGCCTCTCAGCCCTAATGGGGCTTTTCCATCTTGGGGGATGAAAGAGATCTTAGAAGCCTCCTAATTTGGCTCGGTGATGTGGATGCCTGTGCTGGTTCTTTAGTCCTGAGGTTTGCTTCATAGTGGCTTCTACCCACTCCCAACATGCCCCGCTCGTACCTACACAGCTGTCCTCATCACTCATCTCCGGGGTCTCTGGGCTCTGGGGCAGGAAGGCCGCCCCCTGAGCTCGAGCCTGCAGCCAGGAACTGTGAGCAGCCACGTTGGTCAGCAGCACGGGAGCATCCTCCTGGGCACAGCTTGATGCAAAGCTGATGATGCCAGCCTGAACCCAGTGTCCATCGGGCTCAAGGCACAGCACAGGGCCCCCGGAATCTCCCTGGAGCCAGGCAACAGAGCCGAGGACAGATGCCTGAGCCAACTGTGGCAGACACCCTCTTGACTGCAGCCCTTTCCCCTAGCCCTGTGAGTCCAGCGCCCAGGCCCCTCCCCTTCTGTTCCTCTGCTCCCCATCAAACCTGACAGGGCCCCTGCACCCCAGGCTGGGGGCCCCCACACAGCATCCCGAGCCGGGCTGGGTTGGACAGGTGCCGCTGGTGCAGCTGGTTATAGATACAGTTACATGTGGGGCGGCTGATGAGACGCAGGTGCAGGTTCCGTAGGGTCCCAGGAGCTGGTGAAAGAGACAGGGCTAGGGCTGGAGTCTGGGAGACTGAAGCCAGGACAGTGGGAGCCAAGACTGACCTTGGGCAAGCAGAGTGCCTCTCTGAGCTTCAGTCTGGTCCAGCGCTTACCATCACTGGTGTCCTGATCCCAGCCAGTGGCCCAGCAGGAGGTTCCAAAGGGGAAGCGATGGGACGGCTGGGGCAGGCAGAGGGGTGTGTGGGTTGTGGGGTGGGCAAGCTGCAGCAGAGCCAGGTCTGAACCCTGGCTGTAGTGGTTATAGGCCCTGGGCAACTGCAGGGCAGCCACCCCCACCTCTTCGGCCCTGGGGCTGAGTCCCTCACGCCGCAGAGAACCCAGGACTACCGACCAGGAGTTCAGTTCTGTTGCTGCCTCCCTGGAAGGGGAAGGACAAGGTCCAGGCTGCTGAGTACAAGGAGGCACTGACACCATGGGACATCCCACAGGTAGGTGGATGATAGCAGAGAGCAGTCCATGGCTTTCTCTTTTTGAGGTGGGGTCTCATCCTGTTGCCTAGGCTATAGTGCAGTGGCATGACCATGACTCACTGGAAACCTTGACCTCCCAGGCTCAAGTGATCCTCCCACCTCAGCCTCATGAGTAGCTGGGACTACAGGTGTGCACCACCATGCCTGGATAATTTTATATTTTTTATAGAGACAGGGTCTCATTATGTTGCCTAGGCTAGTCTTGAACTCTTGGGCTCAAGTGATCCTCCCTCTTTGGCCTCCCAAAGTGCTAGGATTACAGGTGTAAGTCACTTTGCCCGGCCACGGTCTGTGACTTTAAGCTATGTCCTTCCCTTGCCACCTCCGTTTTCTCATTTGTAAAACTTCTACAATGAAAGGTGGTTTTTACGATTAACGACAATATGTACCCAGTACATGTCAGATTCTCAGTAAATAGTATTTTATTATTACTCTGGAGTCAGGGACTAGCCTTGTGGGGCTTGGGACAAATTGTCCACTCCCCAGAGCCAGAGATCCTGCCTGGCCCCAGCCATGACTTACTTTTCAAAGCAGTGGGCAGCAGTAAGGACCCAGGTATCTGCCACCAGGGAGCCGCTGCAAATGTGAACTCCCTGCCTCCTCACACTGGCCTGCCAGGGCCACTCGCCGGGAACTGTGTTGCCCTCCTGAGGCTCAGGGGGGCCAGGGCCACGCTGTCCACAGGCTGTGAAAAGCGATGGGTCACACTGACAGCAGATCCCTGTCCTGACCTCACCCCAGGTCCAACACAGACCCAAATAAGGCCCATACCCCGTGTCCCCAGACCTTACCATGCTGAGTGGCTTGAAGACCTGGGAAGAGAGAGACACAGGTGAGACGCAGGGACGCCAGGCCTGCCTAGCTTTGGGGAGGAGAGGGGATGGGCTGGGGGGCAGGCCCAGGGTCCTTGCCTGTGACTGTGATTACCTCACCAGCCCCTCCCAGAATGAAAATATTTATATGAGGTCGAGACAGCTTTTATTGGAACCTATTCAGCGTGCATACTCAGTAATTAATTCTCCTTCAGCTGTGCTCAGCACTCCAGGGCTTGGGGTTCAACCTGGGAGTAGGCCAAACCTCCTCCAGGCTTCAGAACCCCCAAAGCCTGCCCCCACCACTGAGTCAGGGAGGTGGCCTCTGTGTATGGAGAGCATTAGCTTAATTGTCCCCTCAGCAGCAGAGGCCTAAGAGGAAGGATTAGAGGCCTGCGTCATTTCCAAGGGGGGAGGGCCCCAAGAAATGGAGACATACCTCATCCCTGCTCTCAGTCTTCCCCACCTTCCCAGAAACTGCCTGAGAGTCCGCCAGAGAGAGGGCCACTGCCTGCCACCCCCCACTCACAGGCATACAGGCACATAGGCACCCCTGTGAGACAGCTGAGCCAGGCTGCCCAGAGGATGGATGAAAAGAAAGAGAAACTGAAGCCAGAGGCACCCAGAGTTTGCCTGAGGTCATTCAAGGCAGAGATGGGCACAGGACACACACAGGCAGCACCACATACATAAGACCACAGGCCCTGTCGATGCAAACTAGCTGGCCCGAGAAAACCTCACCTATGTAGACACAGGTGGCCACATACCCTGCCCCACAGAGTTCCATCCCCACCAACAGACTGTCACACACAGGTAGTCCCCCCACCAAGGAGCAGGGGCTGCTGGGGCAGAGGTGGCCCCTGAGCCCCCACACATGGTAGCTCACCCTCCATGAGGACCATGGCACCCACGATGAGCCGCGCTGGGCCCCAGCTCCACTTCATGCTGCCCCGGGCCACTCTGCTGCCTGTGCTCTGCTCTCAGAGGCCACCTGGGTCTCCCTGGCTCCACCTCTGCTCCACCCCCCAGTTGGCTAGGAGTCAGCTGTCTACTTGTCCTAGCCAGCAGTTCCTAGCTCTGGGGCTGTGGCTGTGCGACCCTGGGCTCATTACCACCCCTCTCTGGGCCTCGGCCGTGGAGCCAGACTGTCTGGGTTTAAATCTGTTTCTTTACTACTTAAGTAGCCTGAGAGAGAGAAACTCAGTTGTTGAATGGAAAACACCTTGATGATAGCCTGGCACGGGGTGAGCTCACTCCCAGCATGAAAGCACCATCCTGGGGGGCCGGGTGCGGTGGCTCAAGCCTGTAATCCCAGCACTTTGGGAGGCCGAGGCGGGTGGATCACGAGGTCAAGAGATCGAGACCATCCAGGTCAACATGGTGAAACCCCGTCTCTACTAAAGATACAAAAAATTAGCTGGGCATGGTGGCGCGTGCCTGTAATCCCAGCTACTCAGGAGGCTGAGGCAGGAGAATTGCCTGAACCCAGGAGGCGGAGGTTGCAGTGAGCCGAGATCGCGCCATTGCACTCCAGCCTGGGAAACGAGCGAAACTCCACCTCAAAAAAAAAAAAAAAAAAAAAAAGAAAGCACCATCCTGGAACTGAGGAGGCACATGGGCAGCTCCTCCTGGTCCCTGCTTTCCATGTCTACTCCCCCGCTTCTCTCCCAGCCAGGGCAGGTGGGTTTCACATGCCCCTCCCAGGTCTACTCAGAGACAGTGTGTGCAGGGCTGGGTGTTGAGGGGCCAGTGCCCACAGCCGCTTGTTGGCTGTGAGCCTTTGGCAAATCCCAGTACCTCCCTGGGCCTGCTGCCTTCCCGGGAAACAGGGTGACAGCGGTGCCCACCTTCCTCACGGGCACTGGAGGACTCGGTCAGGTGGGAAGAACACTCGGGTGCATGCCTCCTCTTCCCATTCCTAACTCAGGCTGGCCCAGACCGGTCCAGGACCCTGACCCCAAGACAAAGGCAGCTGTGGGTAGGGTTTAGCATATAGATGCTGGAGGCAGATGGACCAGTTGGATTCAAATCCTGAGAGCCTCCTGCTGTGTGATCTCAGGCAAACTACTTAGCCTCTCTGTACCTGAGTTTCCTCATCAAGATAGGGATAATAATAGTACTCACCTCATAAATCACTGTAAAGATTAAACGAGTTTAACACGTTAACACAAGTTGTTTTTTTTTTTGAAGATGGTCTTGCTCACTGCAGCCTCAACCTTCTGGGCTCAAGTGATCTTGCCAGCTTCCTGAATAGTTGGGACTGCAGGTGCATACCACCATGCCTGGCTAAATTTATTTTTGTTTTGTAGAGACAGGGGTCTCACTATTTTGCCCAGGCTGGTCTGGAACTCCTGGCCTCAAGTGATCCTCCTGCCTTGGCCTCCCAAAGTACAGGGATTTCAGGTGTGAGCCACTGCACCCAGCCAACACAAGTTCTTAAACAGTGCTTGGCATGTAGGTCAGTGCTCAGGGCATGTTAGGCAAAACAAAAACCTTCACAACCTGGCTCTGGTCTTCTGGGGCTACCAGGACTAGCTTGCAATGGTTGATAAGGCTGGTGGGGTAAGGTTAAACTCAAGGAAGAACTTCCCAGCAAGCATTCACAGAACCAGAAAGGGGCCCTTGCAGGTATGTGCTCAGCCTTCCCAGGAGAGGAAGCCTGGCTCCTGTGCACAGCAGAAACAAGCTGCCAGACTGTTTCCTGGGGGTGGGGGCTGACGGCACCCAGGTCTTGCTGACTTCACACACTGGAGATGAGAGTACCCATAACCACCCTTCCCAGCAGGCCCTCCACTCTCCTTCTGACTCACCCTTCCCAGCTCCAGAGAAGGCCCAGCACCACAGTCCCTGGCAGATACATGGTTCAGACTTGGCTGATTTATCTAAGAAACTTTATTGCTCAGAACCTTCCCTCCCTGGGCAATGGCAAGAACTTTGGAGACCAGCCTCTGGGGACGGAGTCAGAGGCACTAGGTGGAAAAAAGAGCATGTGGCAATTTGGTCCATTACCAGGTATGGGTATGGGAGAGGGAGGGAGGACTCTAGAAGGCCCCGAATCTAGGGACCCTGCATCTAGGGACCTAGGAGCATTCTAGGGACACAGATATGCCCCCATGGGCAAGGCTCACATGCCAAGGCAAAGCAGATGAGGCCAGCCTGGCTCAGGGTGAGGGCTTAGTGCCTCTTAGCCTTGCCCTGGGGTTCTTGGATCTTCTGGAAACTGAGCCACATCAGGCCCATGTTGATGGCATAGGTGGTGATGCAAACGATGCAGAAGTCATAGAGCACGAAGAACAGGATCCAGGCCAGGTAGACAGAACCAGCGAGAGAGACCAGGGAGCTCAGCAGCAGCAGGAGAGCGGCCCAGCGTGTCTGCAGGCAACCTGCAAGGCAGAAGAGGAGCCAGTGTAAGCTTCCGGGACTGGCAACATAGCAAGACCCAATCTCTATCAAAAATTTAAAAATTCAGCTGGGCACAGTGGCTCATGCCTGTAATCCCAGCACTTTGGGAGGTGGAGGCAGGTGGATCACCTGAGGTCATTAGTTCGAGACCAGCCTGGCCAACATGGTGAAACACCGTTTCTACTAAAAATACAAAGATTAGCCAGGCGTGGTGGTGGGCACCTGTAATTCCAGCTACTGGGGAGGCTGAGGCAAGAGAATCTCTTGAACCTGGGAGGTGGAGGTTGTAGTGAGCTGAGATCATGCCATTGTACTCTGGCCTGGGCAACAGAGCAAGACTTCATCTCAAAAAAAAAAAAAAAAAAAAAAAAATTAAAAATTAACTAAGTGGGCTGGGTACAGTGGCTCACCCCTGTAATCCCAGCACTTTGGGAGGCCGAGGTGTGCGGATCACGAGGTCAAGAGGTCGAGACCATCCTGACCAACATGGTGAAACCCCATCTCTACTAAAAAATACAAAAATTAGCCAGGCGTGGTGGTGCATCTTGTAGTCCCAGCTAAGGCAGAAGAATCACTTGAACCAGGAGGCAGAAGTTGCAGTGAGCTGAGATTGTGCCACTGCACTCCATCCTGGTGACAGAGCAGCGAGACTCTGTCTCAAAAAAAAAAAAACTGAATGTGGTGGCATGTGCCTGTAGTCCCAGCTACTCAGGAGAACCGCTTGAGCCAGGAGTTCCAGGTTACAGTGAGCTATGATTGTGCCACTGCACTCCAGCTTGGGCAACAGAGCAAGATGATCTCTTAAAAAAAAAAAAAAGGCCAGGTGCGGTGGCTCATGCCTGTAATCCTAGCACTTTGGGAGGCTAAGGTAGGCGGATCACAAGTTCAAGAGATCCGAGACCTTCTTGGCCAACATAGTGAAACCCTGTCTCTACTAAAAATACAAAAATTAGCTGGGTATGGTGGCGCATCTGTAGTCCCAGCTACTCGGGAGGCTGAGGCAGGGAGAATTGCTTGAACCCGGGACGCAGAGGTCGCAGTGAGCAGAGATAGCACCATTGCACTCCAGCCTGGGAACAGAGCAAGACTCTGTCTAAAAAAAAACTAATTTTGGCATCTTTTCCACAAAACTGGGGTGCTGGCGGGGCATGGTAGCTCACACCTGTAACCCCAGCACTTTGGGAGGCTGAGGTGGGCAGATTGTTTGAGACCAGCCTGGGCAACAGGCCGAGACACCGTCTCTACCAAAAAAACAAATACAAAAATCATCTGGGCATGGTGGTACCCGCCTGTGGTTCCAGCTACTTGGAAGGCTAAAGTGGGAGGATCACTTGGGCCGGGAGGCAGAGGTTGCCGTGAGCTGAAATCATGCCATTGCACTGGGCAACTGCCAGACCCTGTCTCAAAACAACAGACAAAAAACCTGGGGACCTAGGATGTCTTTAAGAGCCCTTCAACCTCTAACAGTACTTAAACCAATTGAAAGACTCCTGTTAGTTACCTCCCTAACCCCAGGATGCTCCGTGATGAGCAGCTAGCTGGCAGTCTACTATGTGGGTCACCAAGATTGCATGGAGTGGGGCTGAGCTGACCAAGGGGGATGAGGGGTGGGGCCTGCAGGGAGGGGGCAGAGCCACTCACCTAATAACAGCTGTAGTGTGTAGAAGATGCAACCGAATATGCTGTTGGATTGATTGAGGATGCTGTCCTGTCCCAGCACATGCTCCACCAGCCCGAAGCCCCTCCCCCACCTGGCAGAGGGGTGGGGTGGGGTGGAACCAGGTTAGGAATGTCAACTTAGTGGCTTGGATCCTGCCCTAGAAAGGTGATTTCCAAAAAGCCACCTGGGCTATCCTCCTTTCCCCCACCTTCCATCCTAGTCCAGGGGTCGATGACCTCCAGGCACAGGGAACCTTTGGCCACATCAGGATTCCATGTCACTGACCCTGTCCTCCCCTCTCCCCAGACCAGGTCTGGACGTGGCTACTCCGTAGGTCCTGCTTTTCATCCTAGATCTTAAGTAATTATTTTTCTTTTCTTTCTTTTTTTCTTTTTTTTTTTTTTTTTTTTTGAGGCAGAGTCTCACTTGTTCGCCCAGGCTGGAGTGTAATGGCACGATCTCCGCTCACTCCAAGTTCCACCTCCCGGGTTCAAGCGATTCTCCTGCCTCAGCCTCCTGAGTAGCTGGGATTACAGGCGCCCGCCACAGCGCCCAGCTAATTTTTGTATTTTTAGTAAAGATGGGGTTTCACCATGTTGGCCAAGCTAGTCTCGAACTTCGAATCTCAAGTGATCCATCTACCCGCCTCAGCCTCCCAAAGTGCTGGGATTACAAGCGAGAGCCACTGCGCTCGGCCCTTCGGTAATTCTTAACATGGCAAGGCTGGTATAACGTGTCACTCGGTTTTGAATCAGACTGGGAGTCGAGGGCAGGTTATCTTTGCCCTGGACCCCGGAATCTCCAGCTCCCTGGCCACTCACTCGCCTCCTCTGTATTCAGTCATTATGCTAAGGCCTGGCCCTCACGCACAGCCAGACCGGGCCACCTAGTTCCCGAGCACAGCCATTGCCAACATCCCCCGGCTCCGCCGAGCGCGGTCCTTGAGACCACCATCATTAGTCCCTGCCGCCATCCCGCCTCCCCGCCTTTTCCAGTCACCCGTTATTCCTTGGCATCCAGTCAATCCACTTGGGAATCCCCGAAATAATCCCAGTCTCAAGCACTGTCTGATCCCCTGCCTCGCACTCTTATCTCGAACACCAGGGTAGCTCAGCCCCCGAGCAGCGACTCCGTGAGCAGTCCATCCCCGTGTCCGTTCCCCGGGCACCCTAATCCCAGATTCCAGAATAATCAACCAGGCAACCTGGCCGCCGTGCCCCTAGGCCCCACGCCTCCTACTCCGGAGCGCACCTGGAGGAGAAGACGCGCGAACAGCTGATGGCGGTGCCAACGTCGCAGAGCGCGCGGTAATCCCGGTCTCGGGCGCGCGCCGCCTTCACGTGCAGCGCGTAGAGCGAGAGCACTAAGCCGGCTAGGCAGAGCGCGAGCCGCACCCAGCCAGGGTTCCCCCAGGTGCTGCCCATATCTCCAGGTCCCGCCCGAGGCGCCAGCGGAGAGAAATCAGCCACGGAGCAGGGGCGGGGCGGGCCATGGCCATCCCCTCCCGCCCCTCGGACTCGGCTCACACTCCGCGACCCAATTGGCTGTTCTCAAGCACTAGTCGTGCTGGTGAGTTAGGAAAACAACGAGGAATGCCGGGACTGGTGAGGCGGGTAAGGGACGTGTAGAATCGCAGCCCCAGCAGCTGCCAGGCATGGTGGGAGTTGTAGTCAGGGAGGCTGCAAGGCATCAAGGGAAATGAAGCCTCCAGAGATTTAAAAACTGTGTTAATGTGGGTAACAGTATTTGCGCTTACCCTATGCCAAGTTCTGTTGGAGCATCCAGGACCTAGATACCAGCGGATCAGGGGATCCAGGGAATACGGCGATCCGGTTCGGGAACGAAGCATTTTCCCTGAAACTATTTCAGGCACCGTTGGGTCTGCAACCTCCCGTCCTCCGAGGTCCTGCCTCACCAGTGCTTCCTGCCGGTCGGTCTCCCTTTCCTCCTTACCTTCCCAGAGCCACTCCTTTGGCCACAAACACCCTTGACAGTATCCTAACCTCTCTACTATCGTGGCGCCCGTCTGGCAACACCTAAGCTTGGATCAACTCAACAGTCACCCTCTCTTTTCCAAGCCTTCCGTGGGCCAGCTGAGGTCTCTCCTTCAGACGTCGCATCTCTCCTACACTTTCAACTCCTCCATTCTCCCCATCTGCATTGCAACTTATTTCTTTCCCATCTCAGAAACAGCAACAAATCTCTTTTCACTAAGAGGTCCTTCACCAGCCTCCCCTTCCCCGCATTATCCTATCTTCCCCTCCACAGTCAAGTTTTTGGAAAGACTTTACACTTCCAGTCTCTACTTCCTCACTTCTTCCTTGCTGTCCACGCCATAAACTAGCTCCTGCCTCCAGCACTGCCCTGACACCTAGTGGCTGTTGTCACCAAGAAGCTAAACCCAGTGGTTATTTATTTATTTATTTATTTACTGATTTTGAGACTGAGTCTCGCTCTGTCGCCCCGGCTGGAGTGCAGTGGTGCCGATCTCAGCTCACTACAACCTCCGCCTCCCGGGTTCAAGCGATTCTCCTGCCTCAGCCCCCTGAGTAGCTGGGATTACAGGCGCGCGCCACCACGCCCGACTAATTTTTGTATTTTTAGTAAAGACGGGGTTTCACCATGTTGGCCAGGCTCGTCTCGAACTTTTGACCTCGTGATCCGCCCGCCTCGGCCTCCCAAAATACTGAGATTACAGGCGTGAGCCACCGCGCCCAGCCGTAAATTTTAAAAAAATACATCGAAGGCGCTTAGAAAGCTGCCTGGCCTATTGTATACCGTATTCTGAAAGGGGGCTCGCGAGAAGCATGTCCAACCTCCGCCGCCGGGGACAGCAGCAAGTCCGGGCCAGCTGGGGCCGAGCGCAGCAGGTCAAATGGGGTGAGGCCGGTGCCAGATGCCTCCGCCTCCGTGGCAGCCGCAGCTTTCCCCGCCTGCGGCCCCTGTCCACGCCGCGACCACGTGAGGGCCAGGTTCTGGCGCACAGAGCGCAGCCCGTCCTGCCCGCCAGGAGCACCCTTCCCGCTCCCTTCTGCCATGGGCTCCAGCCGTGCCTGCCTCGGGGCTGCCGCCGCCTGGCTGTACTCCAGGACGCTGGAAAAGAACGGGTGGGAACAGTGTGGGTGAGGGGCAAAGATGAAACCCAGGGACGCAGGGTGCCCCTTTCCCGTGATCTGCCTGCCCCCAATTCCTAAGGCAGGCCAGCCACGGTGAGGGATCCTCTCTCCAAGTTTATGATTATTATTTATTTCTTTTCTACCTCCAAGTTTATTTGTTTATTTTTATTTTTAGACGGAGTCTTGCTCTGTCACCCAGGCTGGAGTGCAGAGGCGCCATCTCCAGCTCCCTGCAACCTCTGTCTCCCACGTTCAAGCGATTCTTCTGCCTCAGGCTCTGGAGTAGCTGGGATTACAGGTGAAATACCCTAGCTTGGCTATAATGAATACATTTTAAACAATCCTGCTAACTCCATTTTGCCCACCCTGAGCTATGTAGGGCATTCTGTTCTGAGAGCTTGTGGTCTGAGATATCTGGCATCTTTGTAACCAATTTTCTGAGAAACAGGGCCACCTGGCCCTGTACATTCTGGTGCATGCCATTGCATCCGGCTAATTTTTGTATTTTTAGTAGAGGCAGGGTTTTACCATGTTGGTCAGGCTGGTCTTAAACTCCTGACCTCAGGTGATCTGCCTGCCTTAGTCTCCCAAAGTGCTAGGAGTACAGGCATGAGCCACTGCCCCCAGCCCACCTCCAAGTTTAAAGACAGCCTCCAGGCCCAGTGTGGTGGCTCATGCCTGTAGCAATTCAGGAGGCTGAGGCCAGGAATTTGGGACCAGCCTGGGCAACGTAGTGAGACCCCCGGCTCTAACACAAAAAAAGGCCAGGCGTGGTGGGTTATGTCTATATAATCCCAGCACTTTGGGAGGTCATGGCAAAAGGATTGCTTGAGGGGGAAACAATTACCCGGGTGTAGTGTTGCGCACTTATAGGCTCAGCTACTTGAGAGGCTGAGGCGGGAGGATCACTTAAGTTGGAAGCTGCAGTGAGCTACGATGGAGCCATGGTATTCCTGCCTGAGCAACGGAGCGAGACCCCATCTCCAAATAAATACAGCCTCCAAAGATGTCACCTGCTTCATTCAATACTTTTTATTGAAAATATTTAGGAAATATGTAACCACGGTAAAGAAAATTCCAATCAGTACAAGTACACACTACACACATATGCACGTGCACACACTGAAACGTGTCCCTCGCAGCACCAAATAAAGTAATTGTCTTTTTTGTTTTGTGAGGGAGTCTGTTGCTCAGGCTGGAGTGCAGTGGTGTGATCTCTGCTCACTCAACCTCCACCTCCTGGGTTCAAGTGATTCTCCCGCCTCAGCCTCCCGAGTAGCTGGGATATATAGGCACCACCACCACACCTGGCTGAGTTTTGTATTTTTAGTAGAGACATGGTTTTGCCATGTTGGCCAGGCGGGTCTCGAACTCCTGAGATCTGCTCGCCTCATCCTCCCAAAGTGGTGTAATTACAGGTGTGAGCCACTGTGCCCGGCCTAAAATAATTGTCTTCTTACTGGTTTCTCTGCTTTTGGTCTCACCAAACCCCATACGCTAAATCACAGCAGACAGGGGGCTCCGTTTAAGGAGCCAAGCCCACCAGTTAGAACCCTTTAGTGGTTCCTAACTACCGTAGGACAAATGCAGAACTATCCTTGCTCTCTGCCGCTGCCCCTCTCCTTTGTAGATCCCACATGGCTCCAGCCATATCCTCAGACCATCTGGGCTGTTGTCTGTCCTGCCACACACCCTTCCCACACGGCTCCCTTGTCTGGCCTAGTCCTACTCAGGCTGCACCTATACAGCTGTCTCAGTCCCTGTCTGAGGCTCCGGAAGCCTCCTCTGAAAGCCCTCATCACAGCCTATGACAGGCAAATGTCAGAGAAGCCAGTAAGAAGACAATTATTTTAGACCGGGCACGATGGCTGACGCCTGTAGTCCCAACAATTTGTGAGGACAAGGCGGACCTCAGGAGTTCAGAAGATGAAACTGTCTTCCTGTGCAGTGCACGGAAAGATCTGTTCAATTCACTGCCCAATCCTCTCCTGATGCAGAAAAAGCACCCAGTCAAGTGACTTGCATTCTCGGCAGGCATGAGTGAATAATAATAATGCCTAACCCTTACATAGTACTAATTCCACGCCTGGCACTGTTCTAGGCACTCATATAAATTCAAGTAATCCACACAACCCCAAGACTGATGATATCGCTTCATCTTGCCAAGCACTGAGCAGTTACGTAATTTGCTCCAGGGATTAAGGGGCCGAGCTGGAGTTTGAAGCAGGCAGCCTGGTTTCCCATAAATGATCCAAGAACTGCAAGGAGGACAAGATCTCCGACAAAGAGGCAGGGCGTGATCTGTGCGCTTTACATATAACATCTTCCGGCTCCCAGGGAGCCCATTTCATAGAGCAGGAGAAAGAGGCCAGGAGGGACACCGAGCTTCGGGAGCCGCGGGGAGGAAGCGGTGCTGTTTGGGGTCCGGGAACAGCAGGGGTGTGGCCTAGATGCGCGGGCGCCCGGGGCTGCACGTCCTCAAGGCAAACTACAACTCCCAGGACACACCGAGCGCTGCCCCCGAGCGACGTCACGGCGGGGAAGGCGCAGGCGACTGGGCCCCCCGGCGAGTGGACTGTTCGAGCCCTTCCGCTCGGACCCGGGCCCTGACTCCGGCCCCACGGTAAGTGGGGCGATCCTTGCCGACCCAGTCCGCGGAGGCCCTGCGGCGCACGTCCGCAGCCTCCATCACAGCGCTGGCGTGCAGGCGGGGCTCACATCTACCATATGGGGGGCATCCGGGCCGAACCAAGTGACCCGCGTAGGGGGCCCCGCTGGGGACGCCGGGCCTTACCCTCCCGAGCCGACACCGGAGCCCAGGACTGGTGTCGCATGTCCGCTGGCCGCCCTCCCAGGGCCCGGGTTTGAAGGTGCTGGGCAGGCAGGGGCAGCCCCGCCCACTGAGGAGGGTGCCCGCGAGACCCGGGGCGAGTTTTCGGGCTGAAAGGGTCTGAGGGTCTCCTCCCCCAACAGCCCACCCACTGCCAGTAGAACCCCGGGTTGAGGAATAGAACCCCCGGGAGGCCAGGTCCTTCAGGCGCGGCCTGTGTTCATTTGGGGAGGCGGTGGGAGAGGTGGGCAGAGGTCGCCCGCGTCAAGGGAGACCGGTGCACCGGTGCTGCGAACTGTGTGGATTCAGATCCTTACAACTTCCCCTTCCCCGCCCCGGTAGATGGGAGCTCCACTCCACGGGCTGAGACTGTCAGCATCCTCGACGCGCCCTTGTCCCTGAAGTTGGAGAAGAGCCCCTACCCACCCACACCCCCCTTACCCCATTTGGGTCGCCTCTGCCCCCTGGGTCCTCAGCCTTAGCGGCCACTGGGTCTAAAAAAAACAGGACGATGATCCTGGCGTTGGTGCTGGGGAGCGGCCCCCGGGGTGGGCCTCCACTCTGGCCCCTCCTAGGGCCAGCACTCAGGATCCGGTCCAGCTCAACGTCAGCCACTGACACATACCACGTGGAGATGGCGCGGGAGCGCTCCAAGACCGTCACCTCCTTTTACAACCAGTCGGCCATCGATGTGGCAGCAGAGAAGGTAGGCAGCGGGGTGGCGATCCCAGGGTCCGGGATACAGCCACGAGGGGGAGTGTTGGGGGTTCTCTGCTCAATTCCCCTCTCCCTCTCTAGCCCTCAGTCCGCCTCACGCCCACCATGATGCTCTATGCAGGCCGCTCTCAGGATGGCAGCCACCTTCTGGTAAGATTTACACCCTCCATTTGCCTCGTGGCTCCTGGAGCTCTCCCAGACATTCAGGGCCTAGCCCTGCCTTCCCTTCTTTTTCTCCTAGAAAAGTGCTCGGTACCTGCAGCAGGAACTTCCAGTGAGGATCGCTCACCGCATCAAGGGTTTCCGCTGCCTTCCTTTCATCATTGGCTGCAACCCCACAATACTACACGTGGTAAGGTAGAGAGGGCCTTCACCCTGCCTGCGGGAAAGTGGGGAGTCTGGGGCCCAGAGTGGTGGACGCTTGCTTATCTAAAGGTGTCAGGGCCACACAGGATTCAGCCCTAGGCCTTCAGAAGCCAAAGGTGTATTCATGGAGGCGGAAGGGTCACAGTGGGGGTTTGATACATGGTTGACCAGGTTGGGTATCCCCATGGGTAGGTGTGTGGCACCTGCTCAGTGGCCATGCAGCCCTGTGAATTTCCACACCTCTTCCTTGCAGCATGAGCTGTACATCCGTGCCTTCCAGAAGCTGACGGACTTCCCTCCGGTGAGGGCTGGGCTAAAGCAGGGTGAGGGCTGAGAGGTTGAACTCTGACCACCCTTGCTCATGACTCTGTGACCTGCAGATCAAGGACCAGGCAGAAGAGGCTCAGTACTGCCAGCTGGTGCGACAGCTGCTGGATGACCACAAGGATGTGGTGACCCTCTTGGCAGAGGGCCTGCGTGAGAGCCGGAAGCACACACAGGTTGGGGCAGCAAAGGAGGGGCCCGGCCTGCTGGAGGCTGGGAAGGGCATGGGATTCTGAGGCCTCACTCTTTACAGGATGAAAAGCTTATCCGCTACTTCTTGGACAAGACGCTGACTTCGAGGCTTGGAATCCGCATGTTGGCCACGCATCACCTGGCGCTGCACGAGGACAAGGTGAGGCTCTGGGACCTGGGAACATTGAGACAGAGGAGACTGGGCTAGGGATCCAGGTCAAGGACCTGGGGGTGAGGCTGTGGGACTGGTGCTTTGGGGCAGTTCCGAAGCTGCCAGCATCTGGGGGCTGAGGTGGGGCTAAGGGTGTTGGTAGTCCTGACCTCCTTTCTCTGGCCAGCCTGACTTTGTTGGCATCATCTGTACTCGTCTCTCACCAAAGAAGATTATTGAGAAGTGGGTGGACTTTGCCAGGTGAGCCCAGAATGGCTCAGGGGGTGGGCAGACATCTGGGGCAGGGGAGGCTTGGGTCTGAGCCCTTGCCCAGGATGTGGTCCAGTGGGGGCAGGGTTTCTCAATCATGACACTATTGACATTTTGAGCCAGATAATTATTTGTTGTAGGGGCTTCCCTGTGCCCATTAGGAAGTACAGCAGCATCCCTGATGTTAGTAGTACCCCTTAGTTGCGACAAAATAAAATGTCTCTGCACATTGCCAAATGTTACTTAGGTGGGGCACAATTGTCTCCAGTTGCAAACCACTGGTGCAGGAGCCTGTCTTAACCCTCACTCCTGTCCACAGACGCCTGTGTGAACACAAGTATGGCAATGCGCCCCGTGTCCGCATCAATGGCCACGTGGCTGCCCGTTTCCCCTTCATCCCTATGCCGCTGGACTATATCCTCCCGGAGCTGCTCAAGAATGCCATGAGGTAGGCTGGCTGGACGTGCTGGGAGCAGGGCAGACAGGAACCATATGCTGCTACCTACTGCTCTTTCCCCTCTACATAGAGCCACAATGGAGAGTCACCTGGATACCCCCTACAATGTTCCAGATGTGGTCATCACCATCGCCAACAATGATGTTGATCTGATCATCAGGTCTGCCTGGAGTGGGAGTTGGGCTGAGGTGGATGGGTTGGGAGTCCAGGCACTGTTTCTGACTTGCTCTAGGACCTTGAGCCCCTTCCTGTCCCATTCTGGGACTCGGTCCCTGGCCAGACAAACCATTCTCTGGATCCTGAGATGGCCATGAGCTGGTTATTAATGGATCTGGGGCCAGCTGCTGGCCTCAGTATCCTGCCTCTATCAGCAGCTGAGGAGCTTGAAATTGAGAAACAGGAGTAACTGGTCCAGGATGCTGGGCTGAGGATAAATATCACATCCTATGAGAAGGTATAAGCAGTCAGTAGTCCTGGCAGAGGTGAGGACGATACAAACAAGGCCCAAGGGTATCGATGGACCACATTCCACCTGTGGGCAAAAGGGACAGGAAGGCAGACTTTACAATGTCTGCTTGGGAGGTGGTGAGTCCCCTGTCAAAGCTGAGCCAAGCCCATTATTGTCGCCATCCTGCCAGGATCTCAGACCGTGGTGGAGGAATCGCTCACAAAGACCTGGACCGGGTCATGGACTACCACTTCACTACAGCCGAGGCCAGCACACAGGACCCCCGGATCAGCCCCCTCTTTGGCCATTTGGACATGCATAGTGGTGCCCAGTCAGGACCCATGCATGGGTGAGACCCTGCCTGGCCAGGATGGAGGGGTGGGGGACCCCAGGAGACTCAAGCCTCTGAAGCCTCCTGTCCTGTCCCCCTGCCCACCCCCAGCTTTGGCTTCGGGTTGCCCACGTCACGGGCCTACGCAGAGTACCTCGGTGGGTCCCTGCAGCTGCAGTCCCTGCAGGGCATTGGCACAGACGTCTACCTGCGGCTCCGCCACATTGATGGCCGGGAGGAAAGCTTCCGGATCTGACTTCACAGCCTTTGGCCTGCTCGCCTGCCCAGCCTGGGCCCCATTTCCTGCAGTACCTCCCTCAGGCAGGGCGGCTCCCCTGCTCCACACACTGCTGCATCTCAGGGCCAGGGCCCCAGATAGATGGACTTACATGGAGCTGGGCACCGCCCCACCTCAATAGGGTCCACTGCCTCCTCGCCTCCAGGCCTTAGATGGGGGAAGTGGGCACCCCGAGGCCTCCAGCACCAGCTCCCTCATTCTCGTTCCTGGGAAACCCCTACTCTGACCTGTTGTTATTAAAGTTCACATTTTGAATGCTCTCTCCGGCCCCATGTGTGGGGAGGGCAGGTGAGCTTTTGTTTCTGACCCATTCAGGTTCACTGAGCCCATGGGTTGAACTGGTTCATATCCCAGTCTCTTACCTGTCCTGAGAGTCTGGCGGGCCAGGAGTAGACTCTGTTCCAAGTCTCTTGCATGTTTGATTTTGTGGGAGTGGGGTGATTATGGCATCTTGCACAAAGAACTTTTATCTTGTTGAACAAATGTTTCCGGGTCCCAGATAATATTGAAGGCCCAGGCTGACCTAGCTTCGGCCTCCGTTCTGACTCTTCCTTTCCTGGCACTCAGTTTCTAGAGGTAAAGGTCACCATACTAGGCAACCTCCTGAGCCAGCTGCTTCCTGAGCCTGAGTAAAGTTAAAAATAGACGCTCCCTACAATGTCCCAGATGTGGTCATCACCATTGCCAAGAAATATGTCTGCTGCTGCCAAGGAAAAAAAGCACACAAGGTTGTGCCGTGGCAGGCTCCCGCAGGGACTGGGTGCCCCACTGCAGGGAAAGGTGGGACCCTGATAGGAAGGACCAGGGATTTGGGCAAAGATACAAAGTAGGCTCAAGGTTAGTTAGACTTGAATCAGAACTCAGATGACATCTTAGGTGGGAACACCCTACCCACCTTGCCAGGGAAAAAGCAAGGCCTGAGAGCAGCCTGGTGGGGCTGAGAGGACTGGAAGTTTCTCTTGCCTTCCCATCTGAGCTCCCACAGCAAAATTCCTGAGTCTGCTCTAGGCCTGTATCAACTCCTACCCTTCCGGGGATGGAGTTGGGGGATGGAGGGGAAGTTGTATCCAGAGGTCATATGGCAGGTGCTAGGAAACCACAGTGACTTCCTAGACTAAAAACTCCTGCTAGCTGGAGGGCAGGGTGGTGAGGCTGGAGAGGCAGGCAGCAGTCAGAGGCCAGGGCCCTGAAACATGGGCTTTATCTTGAGGCAGTAGGGATCCATGGGTGAGTTCTTATTTATTGGAAATGGGGTCTCGCTCTGTTGCCCAGGCCGGAGTATAGTAGCTACAGAGTTCTCTGTAGCCATGAACTCCTGGGCTCAAAGGATTCTCCTGCCTCAGCCTTCTGAGTAGCTGGGAACCATGCCTGGCTAAATTTGAAAATTTTTTTGTAGAAACAGTTTCTGTGAAACCCTGTGTTGCCCCCTACCCCCAGCTGGTCTTGAGCTCCTGGCATCAAATGATCCTCCCACCCCAGCCTCCCAAAGTGGTGGGATTACAGGTGTAAGCCAGCACCTGGCCCATATGGATTTTGAGCTAGGAAGGGATGTTTCAGGTTGGAGAACCTGAGAGGATTTGTGTCCACGTGATTTGTTAAGAAAGTGCTCCCAGAAGGGAGTAGGGGAAGTAGGAAGCGGAAGGGGAAGGGGAGGAAGCCAAGCAAGGATGTGACCTCAGGCAAAAGCCTAGAACCAGTCAATTATGCCTCAGGGTTGAAGGCAAGAGAGCTAAACCTCAGAGGCATTGATTAGTTTCTCCACTTGGCAGTCACTGGGTGAAGTCTGTTGGGAAAACAAACAGCTCGATTAGCCTAAGGATGGTTTTTTAAAGAAGAGCCTCAGGTGCTGGTACCTTCGAAAAAAAAAGCTCGGCAAAACCCCATCTCTACTAAAAATACAAAAATTAGGTTGGGTGCAGTAGCTCACGCCTGTAATCTCAGCACTTTGGGAGGGCGAGGTGGGCGGATCACGAGGTCAGGAGTTTGAGACTAGCCTGGCCAGCATAGTGAAACTCTATCTCTACTAAAAATACAAAAAATTAGCTGGGCGTGGTGGCATGCGCCTATACTTGCAGGTAATTGGGAGGCTGAGGCAGGAGAATCACTTGAACCCAGGAGGCAGAGGTCACAGTGGACTGAGATCACGCCACTGCACTCCAGCCTAGGCAACAGTGCAAGACTCCGTCTCAAATGTCTCAAAAAAAAAAAAACTAGCAGGGTGTGGTGGCTCACACCTGTAGTTCCAGCTACTTGAGAGGCTGAGGCAGGAGAATCTACTGAACCCAAGAGGAAATTGCAGTGAGTAAGACTGTGCCACTGCGCTTCAGCCTGGTCAACAGAGCAAGACTCCATCTCAAAAAAAGGGGGTAAGCGACATTAGGCCAGCTCGAGTGGGCAGCTCAGGGGTGAGTGTTAACCCCTGACTACCAGGGTGGTTCTGCCTCGTTAAAATGGGGGGTGGTGCCCGCTAAAAATTGGCACATCCTGTCTTCCTCAGGCACCAAGGCCTTTAAAAAGTTTGAGCTGTCCAGGTGTGGTGGCTCATGCTTGTAATCCCGGGACTTTGGGAGACTGAGGCAGGTGGATCACAAGGTCAAGAGATTGAGACCATCCTAGCCAACATGGTGAAACCCCATCTCTATTAAAAATACGAAAATTAGCTGGGCGTGGTGGCACCCGCCTGTAGTCCCAGCTACTCGGGAGGCTGAGGCAGGAGAATCGCTAGAACTCAGGAGGCGGAGGTTGCAATGAGCCAAGATCGCGCCACTGCACTTCAGCCTGGCTACAGAGCGACACTTCGTCTCAAAAAAAAAAAAAAAAAAAAAAAAAAAAAAACCGGGTGAAGTGACTCACGCCTGCAATCTCAGCACTTTGAGGCCGAGCTGGGCGGATCAGGAGGTCAAGACCATCCTGGCCAACATGGTGAAATCCCGTCTCTGCTAAAAATACAAAAATTAGCTGGGCGTGGTGCAGTCTCAGCTACTTAGGAGGTTGAGGCAGGAGAATCGCTTGAACCCGGGAGGCAGAGGTTGCAGCGAGCCAAGATCGCACAACTGCACTCCAGTCTGGCGACAGAGCGAGGCTCCATCTCAAAAAAAAAAAAAAAGGTTGAGCGTTGTGACCTGAGTCACCGCATAAGGAAAGTCTGTTTCTTCTCCTCAACCACAGGCTGTAGCTACAACTCCGCACAGAAAGCCAGGAGGTCCAGGACCGCCGCACAGTGAACATCCCGCTCTTCGCGGGGCCACGGGGACGGGCACACAAGCCAATAGGCTCCTGTTACGTCACAAATCCTGCCCTCAAGCCTGCGGAGCCTACCCCACGCACCGCTGACCCGGAGCCAAAAGAGCCGCGTGGCGCCCGACTCTGGCGTCACTTCCTCTCCCGCCATGGCGGCACAAGGCGCTGCTGCGGCGGTTGCAGCCGCTACTTCAGGGGTCACGGGGGAGGGCGAGCCCGGGCCCGGGGAGAATGCGGCCGCCGAGGGGGCCGCCCCATCCCCGGGCCGCGTCTCTCCGCCGACCCCGGCACGCGGCGAGCCGGAAGTCACGGTGGAGATTGGAGAAACATACCTGTGCCGGCGACCGGATAGCACCTGGCGTGAGGGCGGGGCCCAGGGCCTGGGGGCGGGGCCTGAGAACTCGTTCTCCTGGAGGCCGAGAGCCTGGGGCTGGGAGTGGGGAGGAGCGGGGACGGGGCTTGAGGAAAGAACGCTGAGTTCCAGGCGCTGAGATACCAACCCAATTCTGGGAGACTGTCGGCCTCGGATTTTGCTGAGCGACGCCTACAAACCCCCCGACTCAGGCAGAATTCTTCCCATTCCACTTCCTTGACCAGTCTTAGGTTTCATTCTGTTTTCTTGCTAACGCTGCTTCTTCACCCGTCTTGTCTCTGCGTCTTCTCCTTCCATTGGTTCCTGGCAGCCGGCCACAGAGAGAATACCTTCCAGAAAAACAACAGGCTCCCCTTTCGTAATGTTCTGCTGCTTTCTCTTATTTCAAAATTAACTTCAAATTCCTTCGAATGGCATTGGTTTTTGTGACCTCTCCAGTTTCTTTCTTTCTTTGGAGACAGTGTTGCTCTGTCACCCAGACTTCAGTGCAGTAGCACGGTCTCGGTTCACTGCAACCTCCACCTCCCAGGTTCAAGCGATTCTCCTGCCTCAACCTCCCGAAGCTGGGACTGCAGGCGCTCATCACCATGCCCAGCTAATTTTTGTATTTTTAGTAGAGATGGAGTTTCACCATGTTGGTCAAGTTGGTCTTGAACTCTTGACCTGGTGATCCGCCCAGCTCGGCCTCCCAAAGTGCTGGAATTACAGGCGTGAGCCACTGCACCCAGTTTTTAAACCTCTCCAGTTTCTAGCCAACCCTAGTGAAGGCCATTTCCAGGCCAGAACACACTGTGTCCTCTGAAGACCACACGGCTTTTTACCACCTGTGCCCACTGCTTGGAATGCCTTTTCTTTCTCCTTGTTCACCCGTCTAGCTCCTACTCAGCTTTTTAGCTTCGTATCCTTTGTGATGTCATCCTTGATTCCCCTTCAGGCGAAGTGAGTTGTTCCCTTCTCTGTGTTCCTGCAACATTTGTTTCATACCTCCGTCATAGTTTTTGCACCATTATGTTGTAATTTTCTCTCTGTGTCTTCCTCCATCATACTGGGAATTTCTGGAGGGCAGGACTTCTTGTGATTCATCACTGTGTCCTCTGTACCCGGCAACAACATAGCATATGGCCAGGCACATAGTGGTTGCCTTACTCATTTATTGAATGGTCTGCTGATTGTCAGGTGCTGTGCTAAAAATTTTGGAGGCATTAACTCACCTTCTAAGGTTGGCACGCTTTTTTTCTTTTTTCAGACAGGATCTCACTCTGGCACCCAGGTGGGAGTGCAGTGGCGCGTTGACAGGTCACTGCAGCCTAGACCTCCTGGGCTCAGGTGATCCTCCCACCTCAGCCTCTCAAAGTGCTGGGATTACTGGGCGAGCCACTGTGCCTGGCTGTTATCCCTCTTCCACAGATGAAGAGACTGAGGCTCAGAAAGATGGAATAACTTGCTCAGTCACACACCGCTAAAGTAGGGAGCTGGAATTATATATTAACGTAGGCTATTTTGTTTGTTTGTTTGTTTTGAGATGGAGTCTTGCTCTGTTGCCAGGCTGGAGTGCAGTGGTTCCATCTCGGCTCATTGCAACCTCTGCTTTCTGGGTTCAAGCGATTCTCCTGTCTCAGCCTCCGGAATAGCTGGGATTACAGGCAT